TAATGACTCCAAGATCCCTTTCTGCCTCCATGCTTTCAAGAAGGGAGTTTCCCATCTTACAAGTGTGCTGCTGGTTACTACTGCCCAAGTGCCGCACCCTGCACTTGTCAGTATTGAAACGCATCCTGTTTTTGTTAGCCCACCCCTGTAACCTATCCAGGTCTTGCTGCAATATTTCCCTCCCTACTAACGTGCTCACCTCACCCCAAATTTTGGTATCATCAGCAAATTTAAACAGGTTGCTTTTCACCCCGTCATCCAAATTGCTGATAAAGAGATTGAACAGCGCAGGCCCAAGGACCAAGCCCTGGGGGACTCTGCTGCCCACTTCTCCCCAGGTCAAATATGACCCATCCACCACCCCACTCTGAGTACAACCCTTCAGCCAATCTGCAATCCATCTGATTGCAGATTGGCATGTGTAGACACGCCTAATAATGTTCATATTCCAGCCTGAATCAGCCTCATGCTTTGGTACCCATAACACCTGAAGCCTTTTCTTATTGCAGAATATCTGTGTAGTTCTTCCACCCTCAGCTTTATATGTTTTCTGACAAAGCAGTGACAATGCATCTCAGCAGAGACCCCTACTGAGTTAGTGCTGTGTTCTGACTGGGTGTCTTTATCTCTAATGCTGGATAGAAGACAGTATTAAGAGGTCACGCAACTGGATTTACCAAAGTCAAGGCTGATATGGATGAGTAAACTCCTACTTAACTTAAACCACCAGAATGCTGAACTTTGAGGCTGGCTCTTTCAAAATCTGATTCCTGTCCCACAGAAGCACTTTTCTTCTAAGCTGCAGATGAAGTAAGGATGACATTGTGGGGAGACAAAAAGAAGCTCATTGTTTTCTATTCCTGTGATGTTTCCTATTATTTATCACCTGTCCGTCAGGAAACCTGAAGGTATGAAGATTAAGTGCAGGCCATGCAAATCTGTATGGACCAATTATCTAGACTGTATTAGTCCCCCTCTTTGAATGCTGGTCTTTGCTTTGGCTCTCTTTCTCACCGGGGCACAGGCAAATGATATGCCACGTCCTTCTTGTTTTGTTTTAAATGAATTTGGTCAGAGACAAACCTACAGACTTCAGCTTTCATGATACAGCAGCCAGCTATATTATCAGTGAGATTCATCCATGGAAATCACCTATGAGGTGTCAAGATCTATCTCCATTCCCATTCAGTCTTTTGTGGATTCCTCTCTTTTAGGAATAGGAGTTACTTTTACAAGTGAGGATACAAAGGATCCTTTGCCTGACAGAAAATTTTTTTAAAACTGAAAAAGCCCTTTTTTATATACCAGTGGTATCTGTAATAGTCATATCAACATCAAGAATATGCGGGAAACACTTTGTCATTAGGGGATCAGCTTTAGACTCATCTTCATATTGTGGGAGATGATCAAAATTAGTGCTTTTAAACAACTCGCATGTGGGAAAACACACAAATTCCCATTAATCAAGATGGGTGGACAGGAATACAGGTTGGTAGCTACCTGAAATCTGTCCTCATTGCCTAGAGTCTTATGGGACAATGTGTCTTGTAAGGTTAGCTCTGATAATCAAACAGCTCTGGGCAAAGGCATAACCAGTAAGATCTGCAATCCTGCAAACCTGGTGGCCACACTCATGTGCCTCTGATGGTCCCTTCTACCTGCTCTGGTGATGCGTCCCCTCCTTTCCACCTCTGCAGTGCCCTAGCCCACCACCTCTGCAGTGCCCTATACCAGGGATGGGCAAAATGGTAGATCCAGCCTATGGCCGGACTCCATTTCCTGGCAGCAGCAGCTGATTTGCCTGCCACTGCTTGACCCAGCCCCACTGCCCAGGCACCCAAACCCCTACTCCCTGCACCCACCGCCGGGGGCAGGACCCACGCAGGCAGGGCGTGCGGACAGGCAGCTGGGATGGGGCTGCAGTTGAGAGCGCAAAGAGTGGGCAAGGCTTGCTAGACCCCAGGATCTTGGGGTGGTCACAACATGGGGCCAGGGCCAGAGTAGAGCTGCAGTTCACTCCCTGCACACCGCTGCCCATAGGAGCCACACTCGTCGCAGGGGTGTACAGGCTGCAGATTACAGCTCGGCCCTGCACTGTCACTGTCCCAAGATCCCAGGGTCTCCCCGGCCCCAGCTGCCCATTTTGCTCCCAGCTGTGGCCCCATCCCAGCTGTCTGGCTGCGTGCCCTGCCTGTGTGTGTCCCATCCCCAGTGGTGGATGCAGGGCAAATGGACAGGGGTGTCCAGGCAGTGGGGCGGGCAGCCAGAAGGAGCCGCCACTGCAAGGGCTGCCAGGAAATGGAGTCTGCTTGGCATGTCACCGTGTACCAAGAATTTAGAGAGCCAAATTTAGCAACAAGGGTGAGAGACTGTGGTACAGAGTGGGGCAGTGCAGAGGGGGTTGCGGCGAAACAATTAGGAATGAATAATACATGCCAGAGCAGCAGGCAGAGGGGACCAAGGGAGGGAGCAATGTGAGAGTGCCCAGCAGATTTAGGAAACGCTGATCAGAACAGGCAAGCACAATACTAGTCTATAAGAAGATGCCCCCTTTAAATCTTCAGGGCACCCCCCACAAGCCAGTGCCCAGAAATCTTGCCCTCTTTTCACACCCCAAGTTATGCTACTGGCCTCAGGTTTTCCATTGCAAGGGCATGGATTTTTATCTGGACAGAACAACATCAAGAGAA